TGTTAAATGGTCAAATAGCTTTTCAAGTGGCTGCCTATCCTATATGGGGGCTGATGAGAGATTAAAAAGCTGCTGAAATATTAAGGTGCAACATGCAGGAAAGTTTTACTGGTCTTCAGCTAAATATGAAGAAAATATCCCATCTTGGAGGTTTCCAGTGTATCTGCCTGCCTGTCTGGGGTGCTGAAATGGCAGCACTATGTAAATAGGAACTGTTTGGTGTTGCTGGGATAGCTGAAGACTGTGATTCAAGTTATCTTCTTAATGTTGAAAATGAAGGACTTGTCTGAAGACAGTCCTGGGGTCTAGGTCTCCAGGAACATTCTCTGTAGAGAAGAAGGTTGGCTTGGTTTCCACTTGGAGAGCAAGAGGCCCCATGTTCAAAGCTGTGCAGATGAAACTTCTGAAAAACTGTCTCCTAATCTTTCTGCCTCTGACAAGTCTAATGAAAAACATGAGGGAGGGGAGAGAATACAGTGGAGGGAGGGGAGCAGAGGGCAAAGTGGTGGAGCTGCATGTACTGAATGCCAGAGCACAAGGCACAGAACAGGTTACTGAGGTAAGTGTGTGTGTGTGTGTGTTTAGGTTGAAGTGAGAAACTGAATGACAAAGATTTAGTTAATCCAGACTATTGAATGGGAGATTCAATTTCTGTTGGGGAGGATATTTCAGACTTGTCCACCACAGCAGTTGGACCATATGAGTAACCGAAGAGCTCCTTACTGCTAGAAACTGTGGAGAAGACTGGGGTAGGTGTGAAAGACACTCCATCTCAGCATTTCCTTGCTTTCATTGTGTTCCTACATGTTTCTCCTGCAGCTGCAAGAAGGGAGGAGAGCATGTGCATCCCTCAGACTGGAGCAAAGGGTTTTGGAGCTTGTGGTGGGTAGCAGCTACCCTAGGTTTCTGAGGACCACAATGTGTTGTTTGGACAGTCACCTCTTCAATATGAGCAGAAGGTTCTGGGTCGCTTGCTGTGCTGGTATTTGGCTAGGGAGGACATGTGCATCACTTGCATAAAAGCAAATGCACAGTTGTAACAGGCGGGGTGCTTGTACTTTACATTTACAGTGCCAGAAGTGCCCTGTATAAACGAGGACTGTCCAGAGTTCTTGGAGGTGCCTCTTTTCCCTGCTTTGCTGGGGGTCTTTTTCCTTTGGCAGGCTTCTCCTGTGATATTTTTCCTCTTGGTATTGGCTAGTCCTGCCTTGCTCTTGCCCCCACCCTGCCCTTCAGCAGGCAGTTAGAACAGATGAGCCAAATCCTTAGAGCTGTGGCAAAGCCAGCTGAGAGGAGGAAGCTGCAGTTTGCTGCAGAACCAGGAAGCAGTTTTAGTAAGGAACAGAGAAGTTATTCTGGTAAAAGAAACAACTCTTTACAAAGCCACTATCTTTTCTTGAAGGGTTTAAACTCCTGGATGAAATCCCTGCATAAGGCTCCAAGGCAGGGATGGCCAACCTGTGGCAAACTAGGGAGGGGACAGACAGCATAGTGACAGGGCAGAAAGCAGAGCAGATCAGGCAGAAAGCACAGGGTGAGAAGCAGCAAGCCAACCAATTGGACAGGGGAAGGGGTTCTGGATAGCACGTGGGCTAATAATTTGTAGCATGCGGGTTTCTCCTCTTGTCTTGCTAGGGCAGTTCTCTAGCATTCCTGTTTCACTTGGCACAAGGTTGTACTTGGGAAGGAGACGGAACAAACACAAGGGTAACGTGCCAGCTCTGAACACTCTTCTGATGCATGACTCCATTTTAGATGGGCATTTCTTACATGCCTTAGGACAAGAGGTGTGTTTCTCTGCTCTGCCAGTGTAGGGTATGACCCATCATAGTGTATTGGTTCTTCCTGCCCTCCAGCGCTGCAACATTGTGTTTGGGCAGTGCGAGTACCTGGAGACTGGTCTGGGGTAGAATGCTGAAGCCAGGATGTCATTATTACATTATCCATGAAAGGCTTCCTGGTGTCCCATAGAGGCATTTACCCCATGGCTGGGAAATTAGGTTCCAGTCTCAGCACTGCATTCCTTGAACCCTGATTACATCTGGGTTTCTTCTCTGTTTTCAACACCTCTGTATTTATTGGCCTCAATTACTAATGTGGAAGGGATGCTGATGCTGAGGTTTCCTGCACAGATAATATTCCCCACCTCAGCTTAACAGTACTTTCAGACAGTGGGCTATGGGATCTTCCTTCTTGTGGCTTTCATTTCTGTGGGAAGGTTAAAGAAGTTGGAATTGAAAATAAGGCTCAGTGTGCTGCATATAGTGAACTTGGACTCCAGCCATTGACTGTCTGACAATACTAAGCTCTCTCCCCAAGGCAGTTGTTCCTTTTGGTCATAAGCCTTCTAACCTCTTAAATGCACATACTCAAGATGTGATCTCTTCAGCAGTGCAGTCTAACCTGGAGAGGCCTTTCAGGCAAATGGGATCAAATGAGTCCATTTTCTAAGCTAGTATGGAGAAGCAGCAACCTCTTTTCTGAGGAAACCCCTACAGTATTTTCATGGTTACAAGTCCTCTTTTCAGTGCATTACAAAACTAAGCTCTAGATCAACAGTTCCTAACATCAGGTCATGACCCAAATGAGGGTTGCAGGGGGCAATGCTGGCAACGCCATGCACAAAAGACGAGCCATTCCCCATGCTGGGAGCTCCACCGGCACCACTGCATTCTGCTCCCAGCAGCAGGCTGTGGCAAAAAAAGGTTGGGAACCACTGCTTTAGATGCATGTTTTGGGTGACGTTCTAATTTTTATGATTTTTTTTTTTTTAGTCTGCAGAAATTCTCATACTCTGTGGTGGGTCACAGAGTGCTAGGTATCCACGAGGTTTTGTACAGCAGTGATACAGGAACTGTTTCCTTGTACATTTTAAATTCCCTTCATGCAGAACAAACTTGTGGCCGTGCCCTTCATCTCCACTGAACTACATCACGTTAGCACAGACTTCATCAGCCTCCAGTCAGGGTAAAAGTGGTGCCACAGTAATGCATCTGCACATGGGACGGTTGTGTTTGAAACCTATCTAAATAGCCAACTGGTTTTTGTTTCCTCAGGCTTGGAAGGCTTTGTCTGGGGAATAAGTAGCTGCTCCAGTCACTGTGCCAGTTAGGAGGAAGCTTTGGTTGGGGTAGACTGGCTAAGAGTGCTTGAATTAGGGGCCAAGCCATTAGATGTATGGATGAAACTGAGGATGAGGAAGGCTAGCTGAAGTTGGAGAAATCTGCAGTAGCAGCTCATTCCTATTGGCCTGGGTGCTACAGGCTTGAGCACAAGCTTAAAGATAAGAGGTAAGTGACAACTCAAAAGGGACCAACACATTTGGGAAGTGTAAGAGCCTCAGAAGGCAGCTCTGCTGTGCAGTGCATAATACAATCACAGGCTGTACTGCACCTGCATTGCTTGGGTAGGTTTTGCCTTAGGCCCTGGTCTGCAGTTTGAAGTGCATGGGGTCCTGATAGCTGTTGGCTATTTCTGTTTTGTTAAAACAGCTGCCCTAATTTTAACTATAATGTCACTTAGCCTCAAATTTAATTAGTAGCTGAGTGAAATGAGAGAATGTGAGCACCTTTATAGATGTGCTAATCCTACAGCAGGCTGTTCCCTGTTCATGACCTGAGCAGCACTGGACTGGGTCTTGTGTTTCATCAGAAATGTGAGCCTATTCCTGGCTGCAGCTGGGAGGAAGCGGGGCACGAGTGGGTCAAGAACCTCCCTTTACTGTGCAGACCTAGGAAGGGGGGAGGACGGTGCTTTCTCAGCCTGTTGTACAATGTACAGCCCTGTGGCATAGAGCTGCTGCTTGCCACAGCCTTGGGGCTAGTAGCCAACGCTGCCGTCACTGCACACTCTGAGGCAAGGTGGCACTGGCCCTGGGGTGGCTTTTGCTGTGTGAGCAACTGAAGGCAGAAGATAACATGGCAGACCAGCACAGCCCAACAAAAAATAAGTAGTAGATTTATTGCTACTTCTAGCCTTTATTCAGACACTTGTGCTCAGCTGCGAGAGCCAAGAATTTCTCCATTATCATCATCATTCAATGTGAATGACATTATACATGAATCCAGTGCAGGAAGTGGGGCTCTCTTCAACTCACCTCTTCTGGCCTCTAACAGGGTTGAGAATGGGTTTTGTTCCTCTTTCTTTTTTCTGACTGCACAAGGTTTGCCCTTCCCCAGGGCACATGGAATAAAATACTATATTGCATGTTATATACATTTACATACAATGGTAAATGCACCATTTAAAATACACAATACCTAGGGCTCAATGAAAAAGCTTGGTTGAAACAACTTCTCTTCCCTGATGGGGAGGGGGGAAAAATCATGACAGTTGCAGAAATTGCCATAAGTTATTTGTGTTCCTGGTCAGATTGTTCTCGGGGGAAACCTGGCTGTCTTCTGAAGAAGGAGCATTTCCCCCACCTTCTCTCCTGGGTGTATAATGCTATGGGGGGGTTAGGGGCGGGGGTGGGGAGCTTGCTGCCTCCAGAGGTCCCCTTATGCATGGAAGGTGCCCGTGGCTCAGCCAAAGAAAACTTAGAATGTAACAGCAAAATGAACCCGCAACTGTTTCAGAAGTGACTCAATCCCTTGCTGCTCTAGAGTGCCTGATCAGAGCAAGACAAAACCCCAGAATGCTTCACTTCACATGGCATAGGTGACCTGATATTTGCTCTCCCCACACAGCCTGTCTCTAAAATGCAGTGAGGACTTCCATCTGGTTCAGTCTTCTTCCTTTTTGAATTGCAAGGATCAGGCCCTATCCTGTCTCGTAGAGTAGGAAGCCCCTCTCTCTCTGACAAGCTTCATGCCAAAGTTGAACCTATGCTGCTTTTGAGCAAAAAAATCTTTAGGGGCTATGGTCCTGGGGAAGGGATGGGCAAAAATAAGATCTTGTCCACTTGACTAGCTGTGGTCTGAAACAGGTGTAAGGCCTCACCTTCTGCCCTTGTCTTCATTTGGATCCTTTTTCTTTTAATGTAGGCTGATGAAGCCCAGGTCTGTTGATTTCCCCACCAAAGATAGTACTGCACAGCACTTGGTGGGAGGGGAGGCAGACCTGAAGGAGCCCTGCTTGGTTATACTGGGACAAACCACATTTAGGAGCTTCAGCAGGCAAAGGCCAGTCACCCACACAGAGTTGTGCGAGAGTGAGCAAGAGCGCACACATTCTCATTTCTGCCTTAAAACAAGTGGTTTACTTATGGCAACTTATGCAAATCTCTGCCTCATTTCCTATGGCCCCTCACCTTCACTCACTGGACACAGGATCATGACAGCAAGGCTTCAGGCAGGGAAAGGCAATCTTCTTCACACCACCAGAGCAGGGCCCAGACTACTCCTGGGTGCAATTCTGAGGTGCCACATGATAGTAGCAATGGCACTGACCTCCAACACAGAGAAAGCAGGACCCATGCCTCTCCTTGCCTGTACTACACTGACCTATACCCCCACTTTGCTCTGCCACAGCCCCGCCTTGCCACTCACCAGCCAAAGCACAGGCCCCTCACGCCAAGTCTGTTTCAGTAGCAGTACTGGAGTAAGGTATTAACACTTCAACCACCATGCTTTGGGTGCTCTGTGGGTAATGGGCTGAATGTAGAGGGCTACCATTCTCTCCTTTTTCCACCACCCCCCAGCCAGCCTGCTTTGCTTGGAGGAGGGAGTGAAGCCCACCAGAGGTCTGTGGTATCTCTCTGCTTGGGAAGGGGTGAGGCAGGTGCTGAACTGGGAGTGACTGCATTTGCTCTGCATCCATCTTGCACAAAGCTATGTGACAAACCATTAATACTTAAGGGCCCAATTTGCACTGTGTGCCACATCCTCTGCATCTTGGTGGGTGACAGGGACAAGGCAGCAGCCCTTGCCGGGACAGGAGGAGGGGCTCTGCACACATTCCCTGCTCCTGCCCTTTTGTCCAGTAGTTTTTTTTGAGTGACAAGAGATGGCAGTGTAAGGTATTTCCACACTGGTGGGAGTGACAGCACTATACAGCTGCCAGCCAGGCTCAGCTCCAGCTGGAGTTCTGCACTTCTTCCCGGAGCCACGTTGGAAGGGGCTGCCCGAGTCTGTTCATCAGCTTGGATAACTCAATGTTGTGCTCCCGGTAGAAGTCTCGTAGGAACAGCCGTGACTGCATGGAGAAGGTAGATGCTGTTAATGAGGGTTAAATAAAGTCCTGCCCTCAACAACACATTCCTCTAAAGCAGAGGTCCCTGTCCACTGTTGTTCCCTGCTGCTGATTCAGCAACAACATCCCCTAGGAAGAAGGAAGGCACTTGCACTCAGGCCTGACCGTAAACAGTCTCCCCACTGCTCTTTGGGCACTACAGTTTTTGCTTGAGCAGGCTACTCACCGAGGAGTCCATATCGGGATATTTCCTTCCTTTACT